CTGTTTCTTTGCCGGTACCATTCTGTTTTTATCACAGTAGCTTTGTAGTAGAGTTTCAAGTTGGGGATTGTGATACCCCCAGCCGTGTCTCTGTTGCCCAGAATTGCTTTTGCTATTCTAAGTTTCCTCTGCTTCCAAATGAATTTTTGGATTGTTTTCTCTAGTTCTGTGAAATATATTGTTGGAATTTCCATCGATGTACCAATAAACTTAATGGGGGAACAAACAAACAAACTAAACAAGAAGCAAAGTAATTCTAAGGAAAAAAAAAAAAAGAATGGTTCTTGGTTCTGAAAATATATCATTGCTTGATCAAAGGCAACTGAGTTCTGAAGACCTGGGTTTTTTGAGAACTTGTTTGGAGGCTCTAACAGGGGAGTGAAGCTACTCATATGCCCTACACCCTTGACCGAGGAAATGGTCCTTCTCTATGGGGTGGTCATCCTCTTATACTGACTGTGCAGCTTCGGGAGGGGCAGACATGGAGCGGTGAGGGAGGAAGGGGACCCCCACATAGCCAGCCAGATCAGCCAAATCAACGCTGGCGATCGATGAGGTTTTGGGATCCTCCAGGTCTTTGGTTTTTAACTGTATTTAGTGGAAATCAAGGAGGTGGGGCATGGGAGGAAAAGAGCTCAGATTTTAAGTTTGGAATGGTATGGAGTGGACCTGATTTCCCATACTGATGTGTTTAAATTTCGTTAATGCCAGGTGGCTGAGAGGATTCTTCAAATAGAAGAGTGGCAGTCAGATTGCTGATTTGGAAAAATTATTTTGGGGCATCAGTGGAAGACTTACTGAACCAGGGTACAAATGAAGGCGGAGAAATCAATTCATTTCTTTAAATATGAAAGAGGGGAAAATCCCTGTGTAGTAATAATGAGATTTAATTAAAAACTCTTGTTTTCTGCTTTTTTTTTAAAGTAGTAACTTGCCTTGTATAAGCAGTTGGCTTTATTTATCGTTACCATGTTCTAACTCTTTTTTAGAAGCCAATTAGTGTACTTTTATCAAGCACCTGCTATGGAGGAACTAGGTATATAAATAATTTTTCTGTTCATTAAAGGGGAAGCACTATAATAGTAATGTTAACTAATATTTATTATAGCTTTTCTTCATTCTCTTTTATTGGTGACTGGGGTACTCAAATAGAGATTCTTCATCTCTAATTTTTACTTTCTTAATTGAGAAAAGAATCACTTCTATAAAATTTTTAAAGAAATGCTGGAAAATTTTCTCTTTCAATCTTTGAAACTTTTTTATTAGACATATTAATTATACAGAACAAGTTTCATTGGGAGATTTTCATACATACATATAACATACTTTTATCAAATCCTCTCCCCATTGTCCTGCCTTCTCCCCTTCCCTTGATCCCTTTCCTCTTTTCTAAGACTCGCTTCTACTTTTATGCCCCCCCTCCCCATTCTACTTAAGAGGGAAAACATGTGCTGCTTGTCTTTTTGAGTCTGGCTTATTTTGCTTACCATGATGATCCACAGTTGCATCCATTTTCCTGCAAATGACATGATTTTATTCTTTAAGGAATCCCTTTTAGAATGACTGATAAAGTTTGATGGGCAAATGTATGTATACTGTTAGTATACATACATTTATGTTGTGTTGTAATTTAAGTATTTCATGAGACCTTGTTCATATTTCAGGTTAACCCTTCCTGGAAGAATTGTAGAAAATGGAAGTGAGCAGGGGTCCTATGATTCAGATAAAGGTACCATCTTTAGAATTTTTGTTAGTCTTTTCTTTGGATTGTTCAGGTTAGAGTATCTACATAAAAATTTTTCAAGATATAAAATTATGAAGACTTTTTAGATGTCTTGGAATTGCTGTCTGCTCTGTTACTCTTTTTTTTTTTTTTAAATGTCCAGTGGCTGTTATCCATGGATTTTTGGGACAATTATAATTTCCTCAGTCCTTTGAAGTATTTCACAATGTCCTTCAAAGTAAGGTTGAATTAAATATTTTTGTTCTAGTTTTTAGAAGTACTTCCCCTGCATTCACTAGATATTTTAAAGTAAAAATTAGAACATGTAAGGTGATTGATTATAGAACATGTGGATGATTTATAAACTTTTGAGTGGAATCTTGTACAATTTTCAAACTTGAATTTTAATAACAGCTAGATGAGAGAGAAACTATCCATGGTGACATTTAAAGGCTAATTGAATTTTCTTCTCATGATTGATAAGTCCCTCATTTTAGCTAGCCATGAAACTGTTTTCCATTTCTACAAGCCACTGCTTTTCCTTTGTCTCTAGATCTGGAATAAGAGTGCCTTGTGTACTCTTGTGTAATTTATTCAGTGACCATTTATTGACCTCAGTGAACTAGGATAAGGGAGAGAGAGTGGGATAAAAGAGTTCGGTGATTACAGTTTTCACTCATAATGCAGAGTAATTGATATGATAATGAAGTATAGTGAGACTACCATCCTAGCTAGTACGTAATGGTTTTAATTACAAATATGTTACATATTAAAGTAAAATTATTAAATTTTGAAAGTACATGAAGTTTGGGGAGGCTGTACATATGTAAATATTTGGGTTGAGTTATATTTGATATATTGGGATGCAGATCATTGCATGGAAGAGTTAGCATTTAAAGTATATAAGAGTAGTAAATACTGCAGTAGATTTGTAGTAATCTAGATAAGGCTGATAAATCCAGTGAAGTCAAGAAGAGATGTGTACAGATAGAATTGCAGGCTATATACAGACTAAAGGGAGATTATCTTGAGACATCAAAGAAACTCTAGTAGGCCATAATTACTCAGTATTTTGTGTATGTTTAAAACTACTGCTGTGCTCTGAGGGATTGGATATCCCAATTTTCTCCTAAGTCCAGAAATGCATTTTATAAATAATATATATTTGTTAGCTGTATTTGTGAAGTCTTTTGAGTATTTTGATCTATCTAAGCATAAAAGAAATTTATCTTTAAGGAATTTTTACCATTCGACTGCCCAAAGAAACTCCTGGCCAGCATTTTGAAGGGCTGAACATGTTAACTGCTCTTCTGGCACCAAGAAAATCCAGGACAGCTAAACCACTTGTGGAAGAAATAGGTATGTTTATTGTGGTTGGGAGGAAATAAAAATAAAATTACTTGGAATGCTATGTGTTTCTGGAGGAAAGATACTCAGTGGATAGAACTCTGAAGAAAATTCTACAGGTGACAAGATGTGAAGATGCCTCATTTGTTGTTATAATTAAAAAGACATAAATAGCTCTCATGAGCCAGTGGATGAACCACATTTTTGGTCTAATTAAAGCTCTATTTTGTCTTTGGAAAAATATTAGCCTTTTACACTTAAATCAGAAGTATACAATTCAAAGTTATATAACATGAGCACCCATTAGGTCACAAACTGAAATGCTCATTTCCAATACCTTGGATCCCACCTATGTCTTTTTCCCAGTTATTTTGCCCTCTCTCCTTTAAGGTCACCAATACCCTCCCTTTTGTCCATGTTCTTTTTTGTCTGGCTTCTTTCACTCAACAGTATTTTTGTGAGGTAGAAGCCCATCTGCCTTCACTACTATCTACTATTCCATTTTATGAATACTCTACAGTTATTTATATTTCTTGGTATTGACAAACGTTTGAGTTGGTTCCATTTGTTGGCTATCACGAATAGTAGATCTGTGAATATTCCTGTACATGTCTTTAGTGGATATATGCAAGCATTTTTTCCTGTAGTACTTGTTTTTCCCTTAGCTGTACCTAGGAAATTCAGTACTTTTTAAAGAAGAAAATATTTAACACATTTAGGTGCTTCTGAAGTTTCTGAGGAAGTAGTAGAAGATGACGATGAAGAGTTTGACTGGGAAATCGAACAGACCCCCTGCAAAGAGGTACATGAGAGTGCTTTGAATCCACAGTGTCACTATGGATTTGGAAACTTGCGGTCAGGAGTGGTTCAGCGATTGCAGGTATATTGTCTTTTCTGAAAGACTTTGGGTATTTCGGTTTTAATTTTGCTTATACTGGGTAGTTTTTCATAAAAAGTACAAAAGGTGACATATTTAGAGCATATAGCACAGCTCCTTGCGTATAACCATCCCACAGATGTGGATTCCCATCTGTATTGTTGGCTGTTCTGCTTAGACTCACTGTTCTTATAGATGCTCTGATGCTGTCTTTCCCTCATCTGTCAGTACTCTGGATATGAAGTCACCAAAATACAAAGCAAGACCCTCTTTCTGTGCTTTCTGGAAAGCTTTATGTTTTACACTTCTGTGAAATGGAGCTCATGTACTTACCTCTCCTGTTTTATATATAAATGAGGTAGGATTTTCTAGTGAGATTGAAATTGTGTGTTTTATCAAATTTTTCAGATTTTAGTGTACAGTAGGTCTGTTTATTCTTTTTCCTGTATCGGGAATCAAACTCGGGACCTTGTGCTTGTGAGCCAGGTGTGGCGCCACTGAGCTAAATCCTTGGCCCTAGGTCTGTTTATTCTTAATGAAAGCCAAATGAAGATCTCATTTGAATGCTGCTCAAGAAAATTTCAAATTTTGCAACATTTTGGATGTTAGATTTTCCAGTTAGAGATACTCAATCTGTAATAAGATATACAGATATTCCTTGTTTAATGACCAAGCTCTGTTCCTGCAACTAGGTTGCTAAATGAGAAATTGTAATAGTATGTACATTATAATATCCAGAACAAAGAAATGGTCAAAGGAAACTCCAACTTTTATTTGCATAACTCTTACATGCAGTACCATAGTGTATACAGAACATATAACTGCAGTACTGTACCATACAGAACAGTCAGCGAAAATTATGGTACCATATAAAAAAGGTGTACTGTTCAAAGGAAGACACTGAGGCTCTATAAACAGGATACACAGAACTGTATAAAAAAAAGATGGGCTGTAAGTCTAAACAGTGTGCCTCAGTCGTAAGTGTGAACAGTCATTAAACAAGGAATATCTGTATTTGAATCTATCAAGGAAAGGCAAAGGACCTAGGTTTTGGTTCCACTTCTACCTCTGTTTAGATATAAGACACTATGTCAGTTATTTGACCACAAGTAAGTTTTGGGGTTTTTTTGTAATGTGGGGATAAATTTGCTTACCTACTTTATAAGTGTTTTGAAAATTTAAGATGTTACTGCATGGGAGAACTGTGAAGAATAGAATACTGTAAAGATCCCCACCCTTCAAAAGCACAAAATGTATTCAAGATTTCTAACAAGGAACAAAATTGGGATTTACTTAGGAGCAAATAATGGTGGAGATCTACTTCCTTCCAAAGCTTGGCATCTTACTGCTGAATTGTACCCTGCCTGCTCACATTCCCTGGTGAACTCTGAGGTAGTGAGAACAGTGAGTTTTGTCTGCAGCAGGAGCTACAGTGAGTGGATCTCAGTGGTTTAGCCAAGAACTGTTATGTGTCTGTCTGTGTGGGGCTTGCCAGTCTAGAAAAGAGCTGGGAATGAATCGAGACTATAGTAAATGTCACCCAGGCCAAGTACCGATTGTATATTCAGGTTAACAGTGCTTCCTGAGGCCAGGGAACTTGACACCTGGATTCCTGCTGCTGTTTAGGGAAGACAGCCTCTTGAGGGGTTTGCGACACTGTCCAGTGGGTGCTGGAGCACAGTAACAGGAGCTGAGCCTTTTAAGTCATGTTCTTATATCTATTGAAAGATATATGAAGAAATTTAGATTGATTTTAGAAGAATATTGCTATAAAATACTCTTTTTTAAAAAACTGGCACTTAAAAACATAAAAATTGTGCACATTAATAGAATGTTTCATGTTTCTATACATGTGTATGTGAAATACTCTTTATGTCTTTTTGAATGGCTTAATAACATCAAACGCCTAAATTCCCATCAGCCAGCTGAAAAAAATGAAACAAAGTCTTCTTCTTTTAAATGAATGAGCATTGGTTTTCTAAACAATTTGAATGCATATTCCTTCAACCTAAGACAGAGAAAGCTGGACTTGAGAGTGAACTCTAAGGGTTTTGTAATGCAAGTATAGTATACTGCTAGTTGTAGAGGCTTAGCACCCCTTGTATGTAATACTGGGACCCCTGAAAAGTGCTGAAAACTGGAAGTTTGAAAAATACTTAATCTGGTAGCAAAACCATATCTGAATAGATTTAAGTTTTCAGTATGCACTTAGGGTTAATATACAGAATTTTTGCTGTAGAAATAGTCATGTATTTGGGCATTGGGTGCTACCTGAGAATTCTTAGGGGACTAAGTAAAATATTGTACATATCATATTACCTTTATAAACTCCAAATCCTGAAGCTTACCTTGCTTTTGGGAATTTGGATGGCACTGCGCTGAGTGCTGTGTTCCTCAGCGCTGTATCGTCATAGTATCATTACTGTTGTATGTGCTTATTTGACCAGTAGACAAACTGATGGATGTGTATGGTCCTTAAATAAAGTTGTATTTTCTTCCATGAATTAAATTTGAAGGATATGGTGTCCTTGACAACTAGGAAATAACCACACTTTGAGAAACCATGGTTAACCAAGATGCCAAGAATTAAGAGTAGTCTGTCTTTTCAAAGTATTAAGATAGATATATTTTTTGAGATATTATCACACAACTCATGTAATTGGTATTACTTGTAGAGTTCTTTTGCATTTATAACTACTCTGTGGCAGTAATACTAGGTGGTTAAAAATAAAAAAGGGTGTGGGGGTGTGGCTTGGTGTGAAGGCCCTTGGTTCAGTCCCAGTATGGGGTGAGGGGTAGAGTGTCCATTTTCTCAAATACAGTGTTTTCTCTCAAGTTTAGTTTCTCAAGTTTAGTTTCTCCAGTTCTGTTTTTGGATGAGAAAAATAAATCCATCAAGTTTTATTCATTACTCATAATTTAGCAGTGCTTTTACAGCCTTACCCCCACCTTAAATGAAAAATGGTTTTATTTTTTAGATGATAAAAGAAATATAGATTCTTTATAAATTCAAAGAAAGTAAAATGTCATCCATAATTCCAACACCTAGGTATTTTGTCTTCCTTCAGTAATTTGACCTTCTAAAAGGGGAATAGTAAAGGGATCTCAAATAATCAGGATATGTTATATACATGTACCAACTCTGCAAATTGAGTATTCCAAACATACACTAATAAAAAATGGGGGATGTAGTCTTTCCTACTTTTTCCCATTCTGGCCTTTTAAGCAGGTTTGTGAACTTCTGTTTTTTATACTGGTTATGAGGAGACAATAAAAATATTTTTGCAGAAACATTTTTAACCACCCCCATACACATGTAGAGACACCCCCTTTTTTCTTTTCTTTCTGAAATTCTTGCCAGCCAGCAGGGTGCCTTTGGAAAATTGCCCTGGCTGCTGAAAGTCATGGCTGCACAAGCTTTGGCTCCGGTGGCTGCCAGCAGCCACAATCCTAGAGTCTCCGGGTGCCAATCCAGCAAGCTCCTGGGAGACCTCTGTTGCCAACAGCTGTAGGACGCCAGGCTTGCTGGCCCTTTCCTTCCCCTAGCTGCACCGGGATGGGCGGTCTTTGTTTCTAGCATATACACTGGCCAGATGTGCGCACAATTCTTCATTTTCTGTCTGGAGTAGCTCTGCCTTATCTATGGCTAAACATACATAAGCCTGATTTAAATCCTCCATGACCTTTACTTGGCAGTGCCCGTCTTTAAAGAGCTAAGTTAGCAATTCTTTCCAGAAAAAAAAAAAAGGAATCCTTTTTTCCTTCTTTAGTTTAACATTCTCATCCTCTCTTCTTCTTTCCCTTTGGTTGATTGATACCTTAGACTTACAGATTCCAAACTAACTTTACTTTTTAGTTTGCTTCATTTTGCTTTTAGGGCTCAGCATGAGCAGGACCTCTGTGTGCAATTTATGTAGAGCAAGCCTGGGCAGGATTTGTACTGCTGTGAACAGTCATGTGCCATCATATACCTGTAACATGACTGTACATGGAGCCCCAAAGTCAGGAGACCAGAGGAGAGAGGAAAGGGGGAAAGTAGAGCTGTTTTCTTATTGGTCAGTTTTCCTTTCAATAAGTGCAGGGACCTTTGTATGTGTTCATCATGGCCCTCCAGCACCCAGAACAGTGCCTAGCCCATGGCAGGCCCTCACATGCTATTTGTTGATTAACAAGACAGCAATCATGCAAATAACAAATAAATGACAGGTAGTGACAGGTGAAGAAAAAGGATGGACTGCCATGACAAACGGGGAGGGTACTGCTTGGCTTAGGATGCTCAGAAAAGGCCCTTTTGAGGACAGGACATTTGCACTGAGTTCTGCATGCTGAGAACAGGCACAGTAAAGTGGAAAGGCCCAGAGTAGGAGACTGAATTGGTGTATTCCAGACTGGAAAGGAGTCTAGCATGTGGCTTGAGTGTATTTGAGTCAGCAAGGGAAGGGTGACATGAGATTGAAAGGCAAGACAGGTTAGCTGATGTGGAACTGTGTAAAAAGTCTAGGTTTATGCTTGTGGTTATGTGAGTCCATTTATTCTCTGAACTGTAAAATTATCTACCAAGACTCATTAATTATACTTTATTTATGGCCTCATGTCTGGTGCAGGTGAAATAATGAAGCAGAACATTTAGATTTCTATCCTTCCTTTTTAATTGCCCCTAACAAGTAACGAAACTGAAGCAGAGGGAGGAAAGCCAAGGAGCATGGAGCAGCAGTGCTTCAGAGTTCTGATCAAAAGAATTAAGACCATGTGGTATCCTAGACAGTTTTCCTAATACACACCTATTCTTTAGGATTCCTCTTGGAGAACATGCTATGTATTAATATTTGTGTATCTCAGTAAAGACAATTATAGTAAAGTTGAAAGTTTCAAATGAAAAGCCATATACATCAAAATTGCCCACAAAACTCCCTAAGTAGAATGTATGGTTTTGCTTTTATAGTCTTATATGGTAATTGGGACCAGCTGAGCTTGACTATTGAAAGAAAAAGTCTATGTGTAAATGTCTGATCTTTAAACTGCTCTGCCTTTATTAGCTTTCAGATCTTTAGGGAGAATTAATTGTTCTTGCTTGCTTACATTCTGCTTTTTATGTTAAACTTTTATAACCTTAATATTTGTTCATTAGTTAGTTTGTTGCAAGGATTAAATGAGATATAATCTATGTGAAGATTGCTAACAGGGCTTAGGGCAGTGATGGTGAACCTTTTGGAGCTTTCAATGATACAGACAGCCTGCTGCAGCGTGTGGGCCATAGGTTCACCACCCCTGGTCTAGGGAATAGTAGGTGCTTAATAAGCAGTTCCTGGTTTTGAATCTAAATGCCATAGATGGTACCATGGTTTACTGACCAGTTAGATTCTTCATGTGCTTTGACTTTTTTTTCTTGGCCACGTTTGAGTTTTCAATGCTAAATGTAGGTAGCAATTATTCTTTCTTTTTCTGGGTGCTCCTAGGATGAATTAAGTGAAGTTATTGATATTAAGAATCCAGATTTCACCCCTGCAGCTGAACGAAGGCAGAAACGCCTCGCTGCTGAGCTGGCCAAATTTGATCCTGATCATTATCTGTGAGTATTGAGGTTTTTGAGGATTAAATGATTTACTTGACATTTATTCAAAAAAGTTTTGAGTGTCTTTAACATGGGCGTGTGCATTTTGGTTCTTAGAAATTAGAGATGGCTCAAAACCTTAGTTGACATTTGAGGTAACTTTGTGTGATACCTTTGTGATCTTAGTAAGTATTGCTCCCTAGTTGTTCATCCGAGCAGCAGAGAACAAGTCTAATATACTTTTTGAGCTTTTTCTCACCAGGCTTAGACACAAGACTAAATTTGTGAGATTACTTACACTTTTTTTAAGTAGGCTTTTTTGGTAATTAATGGTATACATAAATGGGAGAATGTCTCTGTTTCCTAAGATTTTGAATCTACATGTGCTTTATTTCTTCTTATCCAGGGTCTTCTAACACTTTCATCCACTAGCACCTGTAATCAGCGATCTGTTTCAAAAAATTATCCTGCGTGGTAGATTATATTTAGAATCTTAATTTTGAGTTTTTTGTATTTCCCGCTTGCATTAGTTATGTCTTTAGCTAGACTGTGTCTCTGTGAGCATTATATATGCATATGGATCTTATCTAATTAATGATCGCTTGAGTGATTGTCATATCTCTCACTGGGGGTGATAGCAGCACTTCTTCACATTGTCACCTGGCCTCTCTTGGTACATGGTTGTCCTAGGATGTGTGAAGAATGGTTGTTGTATATTGGTGTAGACATCACTTCTTATTCTTGACAAGCTCTGGGCCAACAATTTCTAAACTGTTACATATGGAACTCTAGTCATCACTTGCCCTTCTGTTTGTCAAGTGCTTTCAGCTTATCAAGTGCTCTCGAGATTAATTCAGTTTTTACAACAGATGAGGAAAGGAGGTTAAGGGACTTGACCAAGGTCACAGTAGTACTGAGTGACTGGGCCAGGCCTTGAAAAGAGTCTCTCCACTTGTCATTTTGTATTTCCTTTTTATGTACACTATTTCAGTTTAACTGCTGTTGCTCTTGTGATTAACATTCTTTCTCCTGTGACACAGTGGGATACTAATTGGAATGGCAGAAATATATCTTGTGATGTCCAAATGGAATGAATGATAAATGGTTGAACTGTTCAACATCCTAAGGGAAACTGGGTATGAGCAGGGTATGTTACATTCTGGAGGACATCTGAGAGATTTAGCTCCATTTACATTGCCATTTCTAATTACCTTTATCTATCCAATTGTGATTTTAAAGGTCCACTGAAGAGTAATTTGAAGAAACCCATTTAAAATCAGCCGAATATTTAAAGTAGAAATTTCATTGTCAGCAAATTTCTCAGTCTAGCATGAAAACAGAATGAGCTTTACAACATTGAAAATTCAAGTGGGAGGGAGCTTAATTAGAAGAACTGCTTATCTCTTCTAAAACTAGAAGAATAAGTCTATGGTCTGAGAGAATTAGAAAATTGAAATTTATAGTTGGCAGTATGATATTATAAGTAGCTCTTAATTTCTTTTCGATCTTTTGTGTTTCTTTATCCAGCAGCTCATTTTCTTTAATGGTATGCATGAAATGTTCTTTCTGTTGCTCCAGGAGTAGTTCTTAACAGGAGTGGCTTAAATTTACTTACAATCTAGGTCAGGAGAGCAGGTTCTTTGTGACTTTTCTTTTAGAAATAAGACTTTGGCTCATTGTAATTTTTATGGAACCCATTGAACTATATCCCCGATCCTTTAAAAAATTTTTTTATTTTAAGGCAAAGTCTCACTAAGTTTCCCAGGGGAGTCTTGAACTTGTAATCCTCCTGCTTCAACCCCCACAGTAGCTGGAATTACAAGCATGTGGTACTGTACCTAGCCATTACTCATTGTTTGTAATAATTAACTGACTGACTCACCCAAATGTATTAGTATTAGATAGACCACAAACAAAGTTCTGTTAAGTTTTCAATAAAAAACTTTTTAGCTCAGTGCTTCTTTAGTTAGTGGTTAACACAGTGGAAAAAAGGGTTCACTTTAAATTCCTTATAGTCTACCATGTAGGTAATCCGTACTATTTATTATCTCATACATTTACATATATCTGATATTCACATGTAGCACTAATATATATTACATTAGTGTAATATGTCCCCTATTTTTAAGTTGTTTGATCTGTCTTTACAAATCGTGAATCTCATGTTAGATTTTTGGGGACTCAATACTAATTTTTATTTCAGCCTAAGCAGACCACAGTGAGGTAAATTGATTGTGAAGAAAAGTTTGACTGCAAATGTAACAGACTTTGGATTATTACTGTTTTAGAAAACCTTTTTGTAAAACTGAATATAAATGTGATGTAATTTATTTTGTTTGGCTATGTTTTGTAGCCCAGCACAGGACTAGGCATATAATAGATGACTCCTAAGCATTTATTGTTCTGATTATCCATTTCTTGTGACTTATAATTCCTTTTGGATGTCATTTTTACACTAAAATATGTTGACAGCATCTTGAAGTATTCCTTTTTAATTGTTCTCTTTTTGTTTATAGCAAGGTTTTTGTGTTTCTCTGAGAGTGGTGGCTTATTTCCTTCCCCTATTTTTTTTAATTGTTGGCATTATTTTTTTACTTAGCTAATTTATAAATTTTTGCCTTTTTATTTAGGAGAAAGCAGAATTTAATCATTACTGCAACATTCTGTGAGATAAAAGGTACAAAATGATCATATCCATTTGGGATGCCATTTTGAATTGTGATTATTTTTCATTCTAAATTTATTTATTATCGAAGATAGTATATCTATCAGGCTTTTGAATGTGTTGAGTAGATCTCAAGACATGAGTAGTAATTGGGAGGCTGGAAGGAGTATCACATGCTTCAAGGTGCTTTTCTATCAAAACGCCAAGCATAGGCAAAAAGCATTAGAATAAAATGTCATAGACTTGTTTTTTGGTTTATGCATTTATTTGTTCAGCTAGTATTTGTCTGAATGAACCATGTGCTAGGTGGTGCTACGGATGCCTAGGATACCAAGGTGTGTACATCCTGATATCTATAGGGCTTATGTTCTAGTAGGGGATGTAGGTGATATTTCTGTTGTGATAAGTACTGTGAAGAAAAAGCAGATTGAGGGTTTAGAGAGTGACTGCATATCCACAAGCTCTTCTATTTCAGCATGTCCAAAATTGAACTCATCATTTTACCTCTAATGTTGTCCTGAATTTTCTCACTTGGTTGAGTGCCCCATTTTTCACCCCAGTCACCTAGGTTAAATGCAGAGATTCATCTTTGACTTCTTTCTCATCCCACACATTCAATTTGTCTGAAGTTGTACCATTTATCTCTGTATTATTTCTTTCACTCCATCTATTTCTGGCCCTCATCTGTGTCTGGCTTATTGTAGTTCTCTTCTACCTGCCTAACTGCCATCTCTCCTGCCAGTTTGAGCTTCTTGAAATCCATCAACCATAAAGCTACCAACATAATGGCTGATATTCATACTTGGTGCTCTTTTACTTAAAGCATAAGCCTCTCACTTCTTGGCATGACGTAGAAAGTTCTGTTATCTGGACCCTGCCTATCTTTGTTGCTTCATTTTTATCACTCCTGCCCATGTTCTATACAATGACATTAATGAAAATCTGCATTTTTCTGTCTGTACCCTACTGGTTCTCGTATAGTACCTTTACTTCTGGTGTCCTTTTGCCAGCTAGCTCTTCCCTGGCCCCTTTGCCTGAGTAAGTTTTACTTACTCTTTGAGACTGAACTCATCCTCCTCACAGACCCTCTCCGGTGCTCCCCTGGTCCTCATGGAACTTGTGTTGTTTTTATCACATTTTCTTACAATGTTCTTTTTTGTATCCATGGTTCCCATTAAACTGTGGAGTCCTTATAGCAAGTGGGTCTTATTAATCTTTTATCCCCTCCATACTGCATGTTGAGGACATTCATTCAGTGCCTTTTGAATTAATAGTGTTTAAAAACTTGAAAATAATTTATTTTGGGAAATATAACATTAGTCAGCCTTAAATCTTATTCGTGAAATTCTTATTTTGTGGACAATGTAAAGAATAAGCCATTGCAGTTTAGAATACTGAAATGGGATCAGTGAAGTATTATTCACAATAATCAGTTAAGCATTTCAGAATGTTTTAGAGATTGAATTAGGAGGTGGAGTTGGTAGGAATGCTGTTCTACCTGGCCAGTTTGATATTTTTCTCATCGTGCTATCCTGGGGGAAGAGGCCGCAGGAGCTTTTCAGGTGGGCTTCTTTGCCCTTGCCTTATGTATCCTCAGGCTCCTGTATCCAGGACCCTTTTCTGTCACTATGCCACTTCTTCCTGGGGCATGCTGTCCTCCTCCTTGGTCTGAATGGTCAGATGAATCTAAGGTCTGTCACTTAATCATCAGACTTGTATGTCCAGCTACCTATTGGACTGGACAGGTTTCTGTATGCTCCAAAAGACCTATGTCCTCCACCTCATTCTGACCCAAGCAGGAAGTGTTATCTCTTCCTCGTGGTTCTTAGCTTACTGTGTCCCTGTCTTGGTGAAGACATTGTAACCCACTGAGTTGTCTTGGTCAGAGTCCTGAGCATCACCCTTAATTCCACCAGCTTGTCAACCCTCCTTTCCTGAAGGAGCTAGCTTCTAAATACAGGTCAGATTTATCCACTTTACTGTATGTCTACTGCCACTCTCCTGTTCTAAGCCACTGTTGTGTTTGCTTCTTCATGTTTGTCCTTTTAAGATGTCATCCCCCTATGTAAAAGCTTTTAAGTGCTCAGTTGTTTATCACAGGTTATTATTTTCAGCCTCTCAGCAGTTTTTTCTTAAATATGTAGCCTTGTTTCCTGGACTTTGCTGTTCTTTCAGCCTGAAACACTCTCTCCTACCCCCTTAATTTGCTTAACTCTTAATTATTCGGCTACTAGCCTGTATCGTTTCTTCCAGGGCCCTTGCCTGCCATCATCCCAGTTATATTTTGTCACAGGATCTTATACTGCTGTGTCATAACATAATGCAGTATGTAAGGACTTGACTCTCCCATGGAACTATAAGTTCTGTGGGGGCCAGGACAGTCTGCATCTTGTCAGCAGTGGCTTCCCAGGGCCTAAAAGTCAAGACATGTTGAATGAATGTTTTTCTTTTAGCTTTTTAGCCACTTACTGTCATTGCTTATTCTGTTTGAAATTAATTTCCTGCAAAAAGCTCGGATTTGTGGATGAATCTATAATAGAAACTCTGAATTTACCTTCACTTTAAGAAAAAGAGATAGCGATAGTTTATAAAGCAACTGCTTTATCCTAGTCTTGTATTCCTTGTATACCTAACAAGAATGAATATTGAGAATTCTCATTTGAAGGTGTTAGCTGCTTGCTAAATATGTACTTTATTTCCTCGTGCATAAAAATGAAATATATGTGTAAAGAGCTTAGATTCTGGAGCTGGGTGTGGTGACACATGCCTCTAGTCCAGCCAACTACCCAAGAGGCTAAGACGAGAGGTTTAAGGCTGAGCAGTTTAGTGAGACCTTATCTAAAATTAAAAAGTGGTTGGAGGTCTAGCTCAGTGATAGAGTGGTTGCCTAGCATGAGGCAGGAGGCCATGGGTTCCATCTTCAGCATTAGTCAATCAGTGTGAAAATAAAATGAAAGAGCTTGGATTCTGGAGTAAGGCTTAAGTGGGTCCACTTCTAGACCACACTTCTTCCTGATTCCAAGACTTGGCCAAGATACATTAAAATGAGGATTTTAATGGTACCACCCAGAGGTGAGAAGGAGGGTTGGAGAAGAGGAAGGAAAAAATATTAAGATGTGTTCTATACATGTACCAACTCTCCATGATGAATGTAATCATTATGTACTACAAACAATGTACTAATAAAATAAAAATTTTTTAAAATTTACGTTGTATAAATTTAAAAAATATAGTGTTACAGACACCCCTTTGCACCCTGGTGGCAATATGAGGAGTCAAAAAAATAGAAAGGATGCAAAACAGTGCAGTGTCTGAAACAAAGAACTCCAGCAAGTTATCTTTGATTTTTCTAATTTGAAAAATATTTCAGTATTTCAGGTGAAAGAAGAGAAAGTAAAGTCATAAAACGTCAGTTAGAAAATTAAATTTGTGAAGGCAACCAATTCATTGAGATTCCAGTTAACTGAGGTATAAATGAAATTTTTACCATAAATTGTGCCTTGTCATACTCTTTTTCCAAGAATACCAATTTCTGATCTTGAACACAAGATAGTGAAATTTCTGAATATTTGTCCTCCAAGAGTGAGAGGTATAGTTTGAAAGTATTAAAACAGAGAATGAAGCTGAGAAACATTAGTTTTTCTGTTCTCTCTTTTACAGTAGTTTAATATGAAGAAACTCTTAAGATTAGCATAGTTAAATGAAATAACTTTTGTTTTAGTATAAGTATTGGTACACATGTTAAAAGTGGTAGGTGTGTGTGTGTGTGTGTGTGTGTGTGTGTGTGTGTAGCCTTCTGTAGCTCCTTTTGGTGATGCAGTGTCCTGAATTTCCTAGTCATTTGTTTATTTTTCTTCAGTGGTGGATTTGGAAGATCTTCCCTTTATTTGTAACCTTAGCAAAATTGGTGGTGCTAGCAAATGTAACGCAAGTGTCAGGTTTCAGTTCAGTGTGTGTTCAGATTCACCTCACTTATTCTACTCCACTAACTGTAGGATGGGACCTCAGGGAAAGACTGGTCTTCTGTGTACCCTCTAGTTAAAGAGATCATAAACGTCAAATACCCCTTTCATTAGATGATGCTTCTTGTTTTATGGGGATTAGTAACCACAAAGAAAGTAAACCCACTGCTCAGATGTTCCTGGAAATGTACTTTGAATTAATAATCTATATTTTTAGTGTGAATGTAATGAGTTAAGATAAAGTTTTAAAAAATTAAAACCAGACTAATTCAGTGTAACAAGCCCATGCATAATTTTTTTCTCTCCAGAGCTGACTTTTTTGAAGATGAGGCAACTGAACAGATTTTGAAGTACAGTCCTTGGTGGAATGATACATATTCCAAAATGCTGGCCTCCTTGGAAGACAGTCAGGAGCAAGAACTTCATGCTGTATTAGGTAAGAAACTCAGAATTAGGGTCATTATTTAATTTTAAAATCTCATGCTGTACCAAGCTTACTACCTTCCCTATTATTAAGCATATGATTTTAATTGCTTCACAATATGAAAATATAATATTGGGTGGCTAATTTTGGAAATGAGTTTTTCATCCTTGACTGAAAAATACTAAATCATTTTACTTTTATGGGTTGGAAAACGTGTGTGTGTGTGTGTGTGTGTGTGTGTGTGTGTGTGTGTGTGTGTATGTATTTGGGGGGCTAGGAAATATTGAATCCATTAATCTATTTTTATTCTTTTTTCAATTTTTATCTTTTATTAGTACATGTTGTTTGCAGTATGTAGTGATCACCTTCCTCGTAGGGAGTCGGTACAGGTACATAACACATCTCACTTCTTATTTCATCCCCTTCTTCTCTCCCTCCCCCACCTCCACCTCTTGGCCCCTTTCCTTTCTGCATCTGTCTCCCTCTATTTTGCTATTTAGATTTAAGCATGTATGTCTGATTTATTTCACCTAACATCATAGTTTCAAGGTACATCCATTTTAGTTCTTTTGAAGTAAATTTTCCTTTAGAACCATTGGAGTCCTTTTAACATTTGTTTATTCAATTTTAGTACATTCAGGGATATTAATATATAGGACGTTTGTAGTTTTCAAATAATCCGGTTGAGAGGGATGAGCATTCTGCTGTGGTAGGGACATTTGAGTATCATGTTGGTGGGAAAAGACCAGTTCTCATTCCCTGTCTCTGTTGAACGAATTTAATATGGCCTCTTCAGTTTTTTATAAGCAGTTTTATGAGGAAGCTGGACTGGCTGTCCTCGTATCCGTGCCCTTCAGAGATTGGGTAGGCCAGCTTGTCCCAGTGAAAACTGAGCCTGGGGATTTCATGAGGCACAAATGGCTGTGCCATACTTTACATTAAGGGTCCTTTCTTGGGTGCTTGTGGTATTACCACCTTCTTTGAGTGTGAGATGGCATCTTAAGTCATACCCGTTTCAGATGGATCAGGAATAAAAGTCCTATGTTGACATATTTGACTTTTGTTTATATAGTAAAAATAAAATTTCACTGTTTAAATGAAAAGAATATTGCTACTGTAATCTTATAGAAAATAGATGATTGGCTCTGTTGCGTAATAGAAACTCTTGATATATTTATTGTTTTCAGCAAACCCTGGGTTTATATTTAAGAAGCTTTCAGAAAATTTCCACATAACATTGGCAAATTTTCAGATACAGAATTGCCAACATAATTTATGTAATTAACTATTTATGGCATGTAGACCTCAGAAAGCTTCTATAAACTAGAATCATAAAGGATATCAAGTAATCTGAATCAGTTTCCCCAATTTTTGTACAGTATTTTAATGAAGTAGTGTGGGAGGAAATTAGTAGTTGTGTAGTTGAGTTTTCTGTCCACCAGGGTGAGCTAGTTGCCCCCCAAAATCAAAAGAAGGCATTACCTTTGATTTAAATTCTAACTGTCCCTCCTTTGATAAATGCGACCTTGTTCTGGGTCCAGTTTTCTGTGTCAGCAGTGCTTTGAGCTACTTCTCTCTGTAATTTTAACAGGAAATTAAGCCAGTGGTCCATCCTTTTAACTGCTGGCTCTGCCGACCTTTCATCTGACCCATAGCTTGTCATCAGGCTGTGCTTCAGGCAGATTTGTAGTCTGCTAGTCCATTGTGGTGATTCATTCTAAAAGGCACCTTTAAAAACAGCAAGGGCATGTGATATAAGGTAGGTGAACCTGAGCTGTATTGACCAGAAAGTGCTTTCTCAAATATGCCAACTATAGGGTTAAGAATAGGATATAAGCTAAGTATTGGGCTCCACCACACACTAATGATGTGATCTTGCAAGTTCGGGTGTCTGTGGAAATTCTACACATGCCTTAGAGTTAGCATGAGGATTGAATGAGATTGAATGTATGTAAAATTCTTAGTGTATTGTGAATGTTAGGAATTATTACTAGAATAAAATCAGTGGTAAGAGAGCCAGATATCAAGTGGCTTCTCTGTGAAATGATCTTTTCTGAACATTTTTACAAGACTTTAACGGAAAGTTCTTTCTGTCATTTTTTTCTTACTGTTTGAGACACCTAGAATTTGAGGAATATGTTGAACTAGGTAGGATAAAATATGAGAGAAAAGAAATTAATCAAGAAGCAAGGCTTGAAATTCTCCTTACCCAAGGTCCATGTACTACCTCCCCCTTCTCCTCCTTTGTCCTCTGGGTCTCTGGCCTTTGTCCTCTTTATATCAAAGCAGTGAGATGTTACCTCGTGAACAGTGCAGGTGAAAGGTGCACTTTTGATTCACCCTTTGTCATAAATATTCACCTTCATCATTTCAAATTTCAGATAAGCTTTAGGCGGTAAACTTTGCTGTGGTCTTAGCTTGGATTTTGATTGTTGTCATATTCATCACAGTCTGGAGTTATAGCCAGGAGACTTTTATTAATGTCTGGAGCTTTGTAGTGACCCAGATTCTCCTCCCCATAGGCTTGTGAATGGCAGTATTAAATGATGTGCTCCTTCAGAGCACTAGGTTCATGAGGATGGACTCACCACATTTCCCATGTTGAATTTCAGTGGTTAGTCTCAGCCCAAGAGTCTTGGCACATAATTGCTTGTTATGATAGCACTTAACATTCATAGTCATTGAACTTCCTAGCGGGGACATCCTGTGGCACCAGCAAGCCCATCAGTGTTGGTAGAGATAACTATCAGTGTCAGCTTTAAAAGCCGTAGCACTGTGTGGCTGCCCAGTTAGGCTGAAGATTTGAACGTAACACATTTTCTTCTGGTTCTCTTGATCTGTTTCTAGTAACTGTACACTATAATAGACAGATAGGCTTTACTCTATCTGAGTGGAGTCAGATTGTGGATGATTGAATTGTTGGCCAGACTAGACAGGGGTGTTGGGGAGAGGGATTTAGAGAGGAAGGAAAGATTTAAAAGTCAAAATTAGGAAAGTTTGGGAGAAAAAATGTTCACCTCACCAACATCTTTCAATTTTTTTTTTTTTTTTGGTACTGGGGATTGAACTCGGGTCCTTGTGCTTGTGATGACATCTTTCAATTTTGATGGGAGTTCCTTTGCAGACCCCAGATCTATTGGTGGATTATTAATGTCGGGAAGTGATCTTGGGATATTTGCTTCAAAATGCTAGGGCACCAGTTTCCTCCTCAAATATATTGAGCTTTCAGCTAGCTTTCGTTTCATTATAGATTATTTTTAGAAGTATAATTAACTGAAATTGTTGTGAACTGTATAGCAAAACTGCTCTGAGTGTAGCTAAGTTGTACGAATGTTACTCATGGTGGCAGTCATCCATGCATTGTTGGCACTGCATCTGTAGGTATTTCCAGTACTGCTAAGCAGTTGTGTGGAGACCTCCCCAAGTTCCTTTTTGGGTGATGTGATTTACAGCTCTACTAAGAATGACCTTAGGGAGCTTAGATTTTATTTCTCTAGTGATTTCATGGTTTGTTATTTATCCTCTGTATTTCTTCACTTGAATTTTAGATTATAACTGTATTTATGTATTATTAATGAGCTAAGTAGGCCAAAATGGAACTTAAAAATGCTCAGGAAAAGTTGATTGTGTTATGATTTAGATCTAAAATATCCTTCAAAAGTCTCAAATTTGGAGGTTAGGCTCAGGGGTGGGTCACTGGGGGCAAAACTAGGAAGGGTATATTCCTGTCCTTAGCTCCTCCATTCTCTCTTTGGTTCCTGGCTGCCATCATATGAGTGACTTTCTTCCACCATACTCTTCCTCTATGCTGTTTTTGCCTTGGTGCGTGCCAACCATGAACTGAACTAAAATAGAATCTCCTCCTTGAAGTTGTAGGTGTTGGATATTTTGTGAGCCAAAATAAACTTCTCCCCTTTGAAGCTGTAGATGCTCAATGGCAGGAAAGTGACTAATACAATTGGTATTTCAAGGAAAACCTAGAGACACCTAGCATCCAAGAATTCAGAAGAGTACGGTCAAGTAGGCTATTCTTATGTTATTCAGTCATTGAATGCAATGTATAATATGAGGACACCCTTGCATGGGAGGATTGTAACATCAGGACTTGCAGTGCTCAGGTTGACTTTTTCAGGTCAATAAACATACATAGGTATGATTACTTAAAGAGTGAAGACAAAAACACATAGAAGAGTTGATGTGTTGTTAAATGGTTCCTGGCACACTTACTTTGAGATTCAGAATTATGGGAAAGCAGAGCTCTTTATTAGTCAACCAGGATATAAAGGCTTTTCTCTAGTGAGATAAAATTATCATGAACACCTGGCACTTTCCTATAAAATAAATTAATGTCTGAAAAACTATGCTTAAGGGAATACTGCCTCAAATCTTGTTAAATCCAGGGGGTCAGGAAAATACTTTGCTAGGTGTCCTATCATCATGCATATGTTCCTTCCTTCAGTTTCTTTAGGTTGAATTGCTTGAAGTAAACTGAGGGCTTCTATTTAAATTAAGAAATCTTTAGATTAGTTCCTTAATGAAGCGTCAACACCCAGTTTATCTGTCATATTTCATTTTTAAACACTGGTCTTTACAGAATGCTTCACTTCACACTTATCTGTATTATTAAGTTAAAAAAATACACGTATCTTTATCTTGCTGTTCAAGAAATTAAACACATTTAAAAAATTATTTGTCAGTTACATAAGTAATGCTTGTACAAATATATCCCCTTTTTTTTTCTTAGGTAAGATTGCTTACATGGTTGAAAAATAAGTATATAAGCTTACTTGTTTCACAACCTGGGGCTGTCCATAGAGCTCAGTGGTAAAGCACGTGCCTAGTGTGCATGAAGGCCTCAATCCCCAGCACTACCAAAACATAACAAAGCAAAGCAAAACAAAACAAAACAAAACACACACATACAAACCCTGGTGTTTGTTTTTTTTGCACTAAGTATTTTAATGAGTAAAATATTGTTTGTAGTAATTTAAAATAAGTGTATTTCAGAGGCTCTTATGCCTCTCAAGGATAGGCTGCAAAACCACTGAAACTGGAAGCCTTTAATTAAAAAAAGCATGTTAGGCTTAAGGGTTAAGAGAGAACAGACATTTAGAAAATTGTGAATAGGGTTCTATTAGTCAGCTTTCCATTAGTGTTAATAAAATACCTGAGACAATAAAAAAGAAGGAAAGGTATATTTTTTCCTCATGGTCTTGAGAGATTTTAGCCCATGATCTGTTGTTTTTGAGTCAGTGTGGCGAGGCAGCAGCACATGGTAGAAGTGCATGACAAAACCATCCATTTCACCATGGCCGGGATGTGAAAGACTGATAGGAAGGGGCTGGGTTCCACATCCTCTTCAAAGGCACACCTCCAATGACTTAAGACCTCCCACTAGGCCCCAGCTTTTATAGGTTCTGCCTACTCCTAAAAGCGCCAGGGGTTGGAGACCAAGCCTTTATCAGGTGGAGTTTTGAGGGACACTTATCTGGACCAATGCATGGGTCCAGTGTTTGTGTGTGATCAGATTATCTTACAGCTCTTGCCAAGTTGTGATGATCAGAAAGGAAGAGACAGAAAAGGACTAGGTAGCTAACCTGCTACCTAGAAAATGGTTTGGGAATATTGGAAAGGCATTCTAACGATTCTTCATCTCTGAAAAGGTAGCGGAGAGAGCCGCTTATCTTTTCATGGCCCTCCTTCCCTTTAGTAAAGGGGCTCTTTGGGTTACAGCTGAGTAAGTGACCACTCAGCCAGTGACTAAGTCCTTTCCCTCCTTCCAGCTGGCTGTGGTCTTGTGCCTGAGCCCTGGCTGATGGGGAGTGAGTGGAAGTGATATGTGCATTTCCTGGACCAAGTCCCAAGGAACTAGGAGCTTGGTGTCCTCCTCTTGTTTTCTTGTTGGCTAGAAAATAATAAAAAACCCGAGAGGCTATCTTGGACCTGTAGATGGAAGTCATATGATGAGGAAGCTGACACCTTCCAGACCTGAATCATTTACCAAGAGTAGCATGAGACTAACTTCTGTCTCATTTAAGCAACTGACTCTTGGGTGTTGTGGATGTGTGCGTCTCTCTTCTAGCAGGTTAGCCTGTATTTCTGATCATAACGGATGATTCTAAAACCTGGAGAAAAAGATTTAAAAGTTATTTTGACATCAAACACCAGAAATGGAAACAGGATGTGCTTCTTCAACTGGGTTGAAAAACTTTTTAAGTGAAATTGAAGTGATCATCTGATAGGGGCTGGAAGGAAAATTACAAATTACTTTGCAAGATGAGAGATTGATAACACTGTTATTTAGCCATATCTATGTAGATGCTTAGGTTTCTTTAAAAATTGCTCAAAGACAAATGCTAGACAATGTTTTACTTATATTAGCTAGGAACTGAGCTATTAGTTCATGTTTTTAGCTGTTACTTTTGCTGTAAATCTTGCTCTAGGTGTATGAGCACTGAGGTGTATGAGGATCTAGTAATACGTACGTTTTGTCAATGTGTAAAGGTACCCAGTTGAATATAAAAGCATGTTATATGTTATTTTGTCTATAACTATATGAAGACTTGATAGAAGAGACTATTTTATGATAGTTTGCCTGGTTTAGGAATCAAAGAAAACCTAGGAACTACAGTCTTATACTTGCCTTTATGAACACAAACCTTTTTTTTTTGGTATCAGGGATTGAACTCAGGACCTTGCACTTTTGAGGCAGGCAGTGGCACCACTGAGCTAAATCTCCAGCCCCACAAACCTATTTATAATAAGTGTGAACTTGATAAGTGTACCACTTACAAGTATTTCAGTTTGTTGTTTTGAACTAAGTAGCCAGTATTTGGTAAAGTGGCTGATACATAAAAAGAAGTAACCAGGCATTGGTGGTGGACACTCGTAGTTCCAGCTACTCAGAGTTCCAAGTTCATTGCCAGCCTGGGCAACTTAGACCCTGTCTCAAAATAAAACAAGGGCTAGGGATATAATTCAGTGGTAGAGAGCTTGCCTAGTATATGTGAAGCCCTGGGTTCAGTTCCCAATACCACTAAATAAATAAACAAACAAAAGCTTTTTTCTGTTTTATCAAGAAGCACTGAATAATGGAAATGGGACAAAGTACAGTGTTCACCACAATGACAGAAATCAAAAATACATTGAAGTAATTTTTAGCACATAAAGCAACAGATCTGTTTGACAGAGTTGGTAATTCAATATAGTAAAAAGTGGATTACTGAAAAAATTGGGGTGGCCCAGTTAACTATGCAGGCGAAATAAACTGAAGTCTTAAAACATATGCAAAAAATAGCTTCTGGGTAGATTAAGGATTTAAACATAGAAATTGAAACAGTAAATCTTAAAGAGACTGTCTAGAATCTATTTTTTTAAAAAAAGAAGGATTTACTTAGTAAAAAAATAAATATTTCAATGACAAAAGTTACTATAAACAAAATCAGTGTTTAGAGTAGAATTAGGGTTGGTTAGGATTTGTATCTCTAATATATCAAGAGTTCTTAAAAATTTGACAAGTCACCCAATAGAAAAAATAGGCAGAACTCATTTCAATAGCTAATTCACAGGAAAGCAAATCCAGATTGCCAATAGACATGTGAAACAATGCTCAGAGTTTAGCAGTGAGAGAGACACTATAACAAATTAACACAACCTACCTTCGTGATCTCACAGTTCTTGTGCATCAGGGGGCATGCCTGGTTCTGAGTGCTCTGCTTAGGGTCTTAGAAGGCTGTAGCCAATTTTTAAAAAATTGGTGTTGGTTACTGCATTCTTTTCTGGAGCTCATGGAACTCTTCCAGACTCACATAATTGTTGGCAGAATTTTGCTTCTTGATGCTACAGAACTGAGGGCCCTGCTTTATTGCTGGAAGTCAGCTGGGGCCAGCAACAGAGCTTAGAATTCCCCACAGGTGCTTTCACGTAGCCTTCTCAGGCCACCTCACCACTTGGCATCTTATTTTATTTATTCAGAACTGTCAGATGAGGGGCTGGCTCTCGTCTGATAGTGATGGGACATGATCTTGGCAGTGACTGAAGTACCTGTTGCCATATTTGTTTGGACAGAAACTAGTCTTAAGCTGCATCCTATATAGTGACTCCTTGATGGCCAGCTTAGAATCCTGTTTACCACAATCACTTTACATCTACGAAGCTGAAAAGTAGTGGGAAAAAACCTATTACATTCAGTGCCAGGCAGGGTGGGAGGTGTGTTTAGGAAAGGAAACTTCTATTCATGACTATTAGGAAGGAGAGTTACTGTAACCTTTAAATAAGGTATTTAAAAAGCCAGATAAACTTTTGAGCCAGTAAGTCTACTCTTGGGAATTTTTTATAGAAATAAAGCTTCCAATATCCAAGGACATATGGCAAGGACATTTTTGCAGCATTATTAGCAGTAGCAGAAAAGTAGAAGCAAAGTGAATGCCCATCAGTAGGGGGAGTGGTTGGACAGAGCATGGTACAGTGCAGACTATTATACTCCTTTCTGAAAATTAGCCCCAGACCAGTTGTCATAGGGATGTGCCAGAGATACTGTGGAGTGAGGTATGCATGTTTGTGTGTCTCTATGTGATTGCATGGGTGTGGAGAAGCTGTGGAGTGATCTATAATAGGTTTTCAGTGTGGGGAGACCATTGATGAAGATGAAGATGAAAAGAGGGTGTGAAGCAAGAAACGAAAAAGGCAAAGAAACCATGTTGAAAACGAACATTCTTTTCTCACAAGTCTAGTATGTGTGATATGGCCACATTTGCATATTTTTGTGAAACTTTATATAGATTAAAATAATAAATATTGTACCCTTAAAACTGGTCAATATATGGGAATGTCCCTGTACCATTATATAGAACTTTGAAAATGGATAATGAGTATTTTCCTAGTGCTTTTTTTGGCAGTCCTACTGTCAAATTGTATTTGATATCTTTATTTTAAAGTCAGTAACTATGGCATTTAAAAGCCTTAACTAAGAGCGGTGTAGCATAAAGGGGAGGGGTGCTAAAAATGAAGAATAACTATTGTTTAGAAATGTGTCCTTTTGCCCTACTAGGATTTGAACTGAAGTATTGTCCTTAATAAAGTTGTGAAATCTACTTTTTAAATTGCTTGTATATACAGAGTTAAGTAGCAATCACTTTTATTTCAGTTTCTATATGCAGAATTCTAATTTTGGTAAATCTACTTTGGTGGTTTTACAAAACTGAACAGAACACTAAAATTTTAAATGCATTTTCTTCTAGTGTCTTTTTCTGAGGAGGAGAAATACCAGCTGCTAAAATTTGTCAATAAATCTTACCTGTTAGACAAGATAGCTCATCGTCAAGTGTACTATAGTTTAATTGATATCCTTCTGGCATACTGCTATGAAATCCGTGTCACTGAAGGAGAGAGGAACGTAAGTGCCAGTGTGCCTGTGTGTGTCTGGGTAGACCACCATGCTAGGGGAACCATGTGACAGTGTCAGCCCTCTTGTCCAGAGTAGAACCTGTTGTGGTTAGTTAATCTGTGCGTGCCCTATGAGGAGGCTATGTGTGTGTTGGGTGGGGGCAACCAGTGTGTAAACACAATGCTTATGTGGCCTTTTTCACTTGTCTTTTGGCATTTACCACTAACACGTAGCACAGCAGAGATGTCAGTTAAGGAAGGAAGGCTGAGCACAGAGAGCGGCTTGCTTGAGCACTCATCTCTTTTAGGCCATAGAAGAAGGCTGTGTCACATGACACTTGACATTGGCAAGGGTGTCAATTGCCATACTCATTTATATTCTTTTTCCAAGCCATTGATCATCACATACAAATTACAGCATTTTACTCAGAAAAAAGGAATCTTAGAATTTTACCTGTGTCTCTCAATTCATATAGGATGTATGCTATTAAAAAACTATGTGTAAATCAGATTTTTAAAAACTTTTTGTGGTTATAAAGACTCATACTTTAAAATTAAATCTTTGTGAAATTATTTCTTGAATGATCTTCTAAACTTAATATAGCTTTATTGTGTCTCTTAAACCATATTTGATTTTTCAAATAAAGAGTTAAATTTCTTTCTCACCTGTATGACTGAGTATGTTACAGAGGACTGGAAAAAGTCTTTCTTGTTAGTGTGGCCCTGCAGCTGTTTATAATTGTGTGTTCAAAGAGCTTTAACCTCACTCAGCATATGCTTCACTGTTTTTGAATTACAGAAGTACTGTAATTTATATCATTGTAAAGAAAAATACACATGAAAAAAATAATTTAGATTTCCTGTAGTTTCCATATTCAGAAATAACTGCTGCTGAAAGGTGATTTATCTCTTTCCAGTCTTCTTTTGGTGGACACATGTGTATATGTACATGTGTGTTTATATTGGTTCATAACACTGTTGTTTAATTTGCTTTTTTCGTTGTTTTTTTTTTTTTTTTTTGGTGCCGGGGATCGAACTCTGGTCCTTGTGTTTGCGCAGTGGCGAAACCATTGAGCTAAATCCCCGGCCCAATCTGCTTTTTTCATTCAACATCCTAGCACTAGAGTAACATTAGAGTTAGAATTTGATATGTACCATTTTTTTATTGTCATGATTCTGAAAATTTCTATAAGATGACTCTTGAGGTTTGTCTATGGCTCCAAAATGAGTATTATTGAGGGTATCAAGCACATAATATACCTGAAAATACTTTGTTTTTATTCATCTTTTGAATAATTGGGCAAAATGTTTTCTTTGACAGTTTTCTTTGCAGTGCATCTGCATATTATTGAGTTGATGAGGGAGTACACTTGGCACAATTTACCATTTTTTTATTCACTTTGCATGTTTGAGATTGTGAAGTCTTTCATCTTTGGGAATTTCTCTAGAATGTCCTTAGTCTCACAAGTATTCTCTGAAAGGCCAGATTCTTGAGCAGTTTTTAAAGTGCTGTACTTGAATAGCAAGTAACAGTGGAGAGGGACAGAAATGGAGCATCATTTTGCTTTATTTTTAGTTTCAAAGCCCATGCTTATTTGCTTTTGTGTTCTGGTATTCTTATCAGTAGGAAATTTTTATTTTATCGAATCCCAAGTAAACAGGAAGTTCTCTCTAATAGGCGGCACATCAGTTAAAACAATTATTTTTCTACAGTTATAAACATTTCTTAATGCTTGTGTATATCAGTACTATTCAGATACTAGTTTAAGTAGATACCTATGTTTTATTTTCAAATGACTTTACAGTACCTCTAAAGGCGATGATACTCTTTTCTCCAAAACACAGGTTGAGTCTGCATGGAGTATCAGAAAACTGAGTCCAACACTGTGCTGGTTTGAGGTATGATTTCCAGTTGCAGTTGCTTAGATTTTTGTTGTTCAAAAGGTTAGTTTTCTATTGTCATTACTTCATTTTGGGCAATTCAAGCAATTCTTTGATTTGTTTTGTTTTTGGTACCGGGGATCAAACTCGGGACCTTGTGCTTGCAAGGCAGGCGGTGGCACCACTGAGCTAAATCCCTGGCCCTCTTTGATTTTTTTTAAAGTGGAAGCTTTACTATATACATTTGATTTTTGTCTCTAGTGAATTTGTAATAATGAAACCAGGTAAGTATTTTTGTAATTTGGGCAAGGAAATGTACTTTAGAAGAAAAATGGAGACGTGGTTTGTTGTGTGAGAATGTGGGGTAGACTTAGAGGTATATTTGTAAATTGGCAGAACTGGGGCTCAGAGCTCAAGAATGGGAAACAAGTCTAGGTAATAAGGGACCGCCAGGGCCTTTGCTGAGCACTTGGTATCCATAACTTCACCTGCTCCTCCCAACAAGTCTGGAGGTGAGTCCTGCTGATTTTACAGATGAGAAAACTTCGATCAGAGAACTTAAATAACTTATCCTAAGTCCTATAATTAGTGTGGTTAGAGATGATACCTTTTTAAATAGAGTAGTGATTGTTTTTATATCTATTTTCCAGAAAATAATTGTATAGGTCTCAACAAAAATATACAAGGATGACATCTTTAAATTTTCTAGTTTTGAACAAACTATTGTACATCAAAACAGTAATTAAAGGTAGAATAATTGATAATTATAACATCAGTTATGACAATTAGTATGTTAAGTTGTAAAACATCAAGGTCATTTCATGGCATCACTTTGTTCAGTGGGGAGGAAAGATGTAAACAGGACCTGAAACAGTTTCTTCATGAGAGTCTTATCGCCAGAGAGTGGTCTGGACCAGCAGCCTTAGCCAGGAGCTTGTTAGAAAGACAGAGCTCATTCCCTGCAGCCCCGCAGAAGCGGACTCCGGGTCTCCTGGTGGTGTGTGCATGTGTTACCACTGAAGAGTGCTTCTTCAGAAGTGGGCTCCTCACGTGGCCGCGAGCAGCATAAAATAGAAAAAATAAAAGTTTTGTCATTATTGGACCAATTAATATGTTGAAAGTAGTTGGCGACTTAGAGAATGTTGTTTGTACGGTTATTAAAGTCTACTTGAAAATTTAACTTTATAATTTTACTTTGAAATTGTTAAAGTTTTGAAATAATTTAGTGTTGCCAGACATATTAACAATGATGTTAATTTCTGTAAGTATTTAGGTTTTTGCTAGAATTTTTTGAAGCTCATAATTCATTTTAGATACAAAATATTCTTTATCAAATGCTTAGTGTACTATAAATGATTAATATATATGGAAATTATCTTGTTCCTTTAATATTAATTTTGTTTTGTTTTACATATGATTTACATTTTTATACTTCCCTTATCAAGAACCAATTAAAGACAATTTTTATAAAATTTCCTCTATCTAGTGTTTTTTTGAGGGGAGGGTTGCTGGCAGTCAAACCCGGGACTTGTACATGCTAGCAAGTGCTCTGCCACTGAGCTACACCATCAGCCTCTGTCTAGTGTTTTTACGAAGTTTTGAATTATTGATGGTATCAGATACCTTTCAAGATAAAATACTTTTCTCCAGAAATCAGTAGTACAGTATTTTCTCTTCGATAAATAAAAGGAAATTACTGAAGTAAACAATCATGTATAGGTCATGCCTAACTGAAATATTAAAAATTTTTAGGGACAGGCATGGTGACACATGTCTGTTATCCCAGCACTCAGGAGGCTGAGGCAGGAGGATCACCCTGAGTTTGAGTCCATCCTGGGCTCACAATGAATTCAAGGCCAGCCTGAACTTTCTAATTATAATGAAACCCTGTTTCAAAAACAAAACAAAACAAAACAAAACAAAAATAAAAAATAGAAAATTTTCAAAAAAGAGGCAGAGGGTCGGGGATTTAGCTCAGTGGTTCTGCCGCCTGCCTCGAAAGCGCAAGGTCCTGAGTTCAATCCCTGACACCAAAAAAAAAAAAAAAAAGAGGCAGAGACTGTCAACAAACTTCACTAAGTGATTCTTGTATATCCTTGACCTGTGCCATCCTGAATAGCCCTAAAAGACAAAACACATGAAGCATATATTGTTTAAAAAATAGCTTTTATGTACATCTGTATTTTGCTAATGGCCATGTATTTTAGATTCTTATGTGTAATCCTTAAGACTTTAAAACTCCTGCTACATATGTGATTTTTAAGGAGCTTTTGAGATAAGTTTATATAGAATGAGAAATTACAAAGACTGTTAAAATATTTTATTGCAAGGTGTTCAAAAAGAATCTCATTTTCTGTTTTTATATTTCCATTCTAATTGGCTTCCTAATGATCCAAGTTTATTATTTTTAATTGAAAATAGTTTCCTGTTTCTTTGTGCACTTTTGTTTGTGTAACATGTTTTATGGAAATGACTACTTGTTAAAATGACATTTCACAGACTTGGACTAATGTTCACGAAATCCTGGTGGCTTTTGGAAGAAGAGTTTTGTGCTACCCACTTTATCGTCATTTTAAGCTGGTAACGAAGGCACACAGAGATACTGTTAAGATACTGCAGCTGGGTAAGATATTATACTTGCAACTTTGGAACTGAGAAAGTTGTAACATTTTAGTATGTGAAGATGTAATCATAACTTTTGCTTTTTTTCTCTATATAAATAAGTAATGAAAATGAACAAATCCAAACCTGTCCCCTGGCAACGTAATCATCCCTCTAAATAGATATGAGCACAGAGCTGTGATGCTGTTCTAAAAGAAGTGGGGAGGATAAATATACATGGTATTCCAAACCACTTTATTTTATGGTAGATTACACCGTTCAGTATTTCTTGGGTACCTATAGTTTTGTAAGCCCTGTGGTAGGATTATGGGTATAATAATAAAGAAGATAGATAACTTCTGTGCTCTGAAGAAGTTTTAGTTTTGTTAGAAACAGATGATAAATTAGTAACACTTCTAGCATAAAGTGAGACGGGCTCTGCATGTGAGGTTTAGGAATCATTTAGGAGAAAACCTTTTCACCTAGACTTGTATGTCAGGAAGGACTTTCCAGAGAAAAGCACAGCTACTCTGAGGACTTTTGATTGTTGTTACATTCAGCCTGAGAAAACAAATACTTACTAACTTTTGTTTTGTTTTGTTTTTTGAGACAGGGTCTCACTATGTAGTTTAGGCTGCCTTGAACTCACTATGTAGTCCAGGCTGGCCTCGAACTCCTGGTGATCCTCCTGCCCCAGTCTCCCGAGTGCTGGGATTACAGGAGTGTACCACCATGCCTGGCAAATACTTGCTAACTTTAAAGATGTGGAAAATTCCAGGGTCTGAAACAAATTCCAAAGTGCCCATAACAGCATCATTGGAAAAGCGTATAATTTCTAAGGCAATTACTTTGAAGGGGGCAGCATCCATTTGTATGTATTAGCACTGGCACATTTGTTTAAATGTTACTCTCAGTATCTTATAGTCATTCTTATTTTCCTCCTGGGGAGTCTTGTCATTCTTTTGCCCTTAGATAAAAATGTTTCTAGGAGTTTAGTTTTCAGACTTCAGGATAAGAAGGGGAAAGAAAGGAAGTTTATAATTCCGTATCTAGGTGACTTCAGTGACTTAATGGGGAGAACTACATCTTTAATGTTTGGCCTGTCTCAAGGTGTACCCTTTTTTCTTTTCCTTCTGTTTGACTGGTAGCTTTCTTGCTCTATGGAGAAAAAGTCAGGTTTGAAGTTGATTCTTTTAAAGTGGACAATAATTGTAAAAATGAATCATAGTTAAATGAAACATGCCTCTTTATTCATCGCCTTGATTCAGAACAGCTGCATTTTATTTTGAAGGATTGTTGGTTATAGGATAAAAGAGCTACTATCATTGAGAAATCTATCTTCTTTAACTTAACAGTGGGAAGCAAACTGAGTTGGTTTTTTTTTTTTTTTTTTTGGTGTGTTATTTCTTCTTGCCTTCCATACAAGATATTTCTTGAATTGCAAAAATTACTTTGAAAAATCAATCTATTACAAATGACTGATTGTTGAGCTTGAGCTGCACATCACAATTAATTTCTTCTTTATGTCACGCTAGATTATCTGGGCATTACTCATAGATTTAAACAGTGAGGATGCAGTTTGTGATCCAGAGGGAAAACTGTAGCACAGCCTTTGTGTGCACTTTGCCCGCACACTCACTCACACATGTCAACTACTACTTGTAACTCTTTATTCTGGGAAATAATCTCGTTCTCTGGATTTTCACTTGAAAAGTAATCAGTTTTGTGATTGCATAACCAAAAATAAATTTGATTGCCTTGACTTACTGTAATCAATTATTCAAACAGTTTTAGTGGGTCAGAATTGAAATTGAGACTTAACTTTACATCATTATCACTCTGACAAGAAACAGTTTTATCAGCTGTATTATGATAGCAACAGAAGACTTGAAATAACACACTCTAGCCTCGATACTAAAAATGAATCCGAATCCTCTGTAAGCCATACACAGTAGCTTCTGTGACTAATTTGGGCTGTGGTTAGTGAAGGAAGCGAGGGCTGGAATGTCTAGAATTCATGCTATAAGCTGTGAAGATGACGCACTCTGGATGCGGGTTGTAGTCTGTATTTGTACAGGTGGATGGCACAGGAATGCCATTATTGTCACTGAAGAGTCTCATTTGTTTGGACGCCCCATAATTTCAGTGGTGGTAGCTCTAGCTTGGCATTTAATGTTTTCCAAGAATAAATTCATTCCTACTTATAATTCAAAATCATAGCATTCACAGTTTTTATTACAAAGGTCAGTATAGTGCTTTCATAGTTGAAAGTAATGAATAACTCATTTTCCCTCAAAGAAATATTGATCTTAAATGGAATGAGCTTCCAGAACCAATGTAAGAATGCCGGAGAATCTACAGGGTATTTCATTATAGGTGATGGACTAAGATGGAGGTTTTCAGAGAGCTATGAATTTGCTTTATCTAACTTCACAGTAGCCTTTACAAGGATCCTTTAGTCAGCCTTTGGCTCTTCTCAGGTTTATGTATCTTCCTTTCCTCTCTCCCTTCTTCAGCCTCTACAGAGGCTGTATTTATCTTTTATAGTTGCTTGATGTTTAATCCAGACTCCTTTAAGGGCAAGAAATGCAGTTTTGGCACCTAGTCCTGTTGTGCTTAACCAAGGTGCTCCCTTATTCATCTTAGAGCAAATGACTCCCCTTTTTATCTCTTGACCCTGTCTCATCAGCACCATTAACTGCTGTCTTAGTCACTTTCTCATCACTGGGACACAATTCCTGACACCTGCAACTTGAAGGAGAGCTTTACTTTGTTTTTTTGTTTTTTCTGGGGTTTTTTGGTTTATTTGGTACTGGGGATCGAACTCGGAACCTTGTGCTTGCGAGGCAGGCACCGGAACCACTGAGCTAAATCCCCGTCCCGAGGAGAGCTTTACTTTGGCTCCCAGGTTTTAGAAGATTCAGTCCATGGCTGGCTGGTCTCAAAGCAGGCAGGGCATGGTAACCGAATCTGGTGGAGCAGTCAGTGGTGCAGAGAGGGAAAGAGGAGTCAGGGAGGGAGATAGACCCTTCCAGGTCACACCCCAGTGACCCACCTCTTCTGACCAGGCCCCACCTCCTAATAGCACACTCAGCTATGGATTCATCACTGGATTAATCCCATGTGCCCCCATGATCCAAACACCTTCCAAAAGCACCACCACTGAACACTTGAAGCTTTGGGAACAGTGTAGATCTAAACCACAACTGCCTCCGCTTTTTCCATTCTTTTGTGAAGAATGGGTAGAGTCTTTCATGGAAACATCCCTTAACTACTATTAGTCAATTGGAAATAAAAGGAAAAGGAATGGGAAAGAAAAGGCTTCTCTAATATATTTTCAGAAGTCTTATTCTACTTAGAGGTGACAAGTCTTATATTTTAATAATTGATCATACAATTTACTGAGTATTTGCCAGGTATTTAGCTCAGTGGTCCCGGCACCCGCCTCACAAGTGCAAGGTCCTGAGTTCGATCCCAGGGTCCCCCCTCAAAAAAAAATTTACTGAATATTTATATTGATACCTATATCTTGCTAATTTTATAAGGTATTCCTCATTCTACTTCTGTTGGAGGGGCTGAATGTGATGAGGTGGAAGGGAAACAACAACTTAATTTTCTTCCACTTTCTGTTTTGAGTTCATTCTAATTTTTTTCCTTCTTGGATTGAATATATATCATATGTCTCCTAAAATAGATACTCTGTAACTTTTTCTGTCACTTTGGATTTAGTTTTGTCATCACCTCTAGTTGCAAAAATCTGATTTTAGTACTTAAAATGTTCTCTTTGAACTTTATTTAATAAGCATACTTTGGCTTCCTTACCTTGGGCCTTCCTCACATTGGGAAGCCAGCAGTGAGGAGGCTCCTCTGTCTGAGGCTCCTCTCTCTGCTTCCAGAGCATTCCCCTCGACCCAGCTGTAACAGTGCACACTGCTCTTTCCTGCTCCTTAATGGGGTCCCCCACCAGGTCTTGTATCTTACAATTAAAATTTCCAGAGCAAGTAGATTATATTGATTAGCTTTCTGGGGCTGTGATGAAATACCTGCCAGACACAACTTTAAAAGAAGAGAAGGTTTATTTTGGGTCACAGTCTCAGAAGTTTTAGTCCATGGTTGGCTGGCTCCAAGGCAGAAGCATCATGATAGGAAGACAGGGTGTAAGAAAGCTGCTCACTTCATAGCAGCCAGGAAACTGAGAATAAGGGAAGAGCCAGAGGGGAGGGGACCATGGATCAGATATAGTCCCCAAGGTTATGCCCCTGTGGCACTTATTAATCTCCTAGGAGCCTCTCAAGCCAATCAAGTTGTTAGTTAAGATTAACCATCACAGAGATTGTATTCTTAGTTACCTTCATGTTGCTCAGACAAAGTACCTGACACTCACAAGTTAAAGGAGGAAAGGTTTATTTCAGCTCATAGTTTGTGGAGGTTTCAGTCCTTAGTCAGCTGGCTCCAAGGCAGGGTGGCATGTCAGAGGAGAAACAGTTCATGGCATGGCAGGCAGGAAGCAGCAGCCTTCCTCCATCTTTTCCTCTTTATTCCATCCAGGCTATAAGCCTATTGGTTGGTGTCACCCACACTCAGAACTATGCTAAACCAATCATTGGCCTAATCCAGTATTGCAGATCCATGATTGTCACCTCCCAAAAGCCCTATCTATAAGTGTGTGAGGCTTTGTGGGGACATCTAGATATAAGCCATAGTATACTCTCTTAGGGCATCATTCAAATACTGTTTGTCTTTAGTACCTGTTTCATTCTGTGTAAGCTTCAGTGGAAATGAGTCCAAAAGTGTCTCTATACGCTAGTACAGTAGTAAAAGCCATAGCTGCCATGTATTAGCTATTTTGTATCTTAGCACTTTCTAAGACATCTCCTTAATGTGTTTCGCTACTAATGCAGTCCTGAGAAACAGGGATGACTGTCCCCTTTATTACAGAGAGAAGGCAGTCTAATACCCAAGGGGGGGGGGTAGGGCTTCTGCAGTTTGATGTTAGAGCCTGAATGTGACTCTACATCTGTT